CATTCAGCTGCAGAGCGAGCTCATAACACTTGAGGATTATTTTCTAACTTTTGAGCTTTTATTTAAATATAAATAAACACTAATAATTCTCGTACTCATCATAAGAACTGGGAATAGAGCACCAAAAGAAAATTCCGACGTTTCGCAAGCTCTACATATGTATATACTCATATGTATATACTAGACGCACAGGTACATACCAACACCAGTAAATGTTTCATTTCACAGCAAGGAACTGCAGCAAACAAACCAAAAAAAAAAACCAGAGCAAAAAACACAATAAATGGAAGAGTGTTGAAGACTATGCGGCTCATTGTTGACTTTTATAACGGTGAAATTGCTGCTACAGCTGTTCTTTGGGATGGTGAGCGCCTTGCTTGTTTGCTGCTTTGTTTTGCTGCTCCTCTCTTGCGCTCTTGAAAAAAGCACGAATGAACATGCAAATCACTGCTTACAACTTAAGCAAGGCAACGACAAATGGAACAACACTAAAACACCTCGGCGAGTAAGCAATCGCTAGAACAACAACAATCGCAGCTGTCATTGGAAAAATATACACAACACAAGCAAGCACACACACACACTTATACCAAGAACACTATTTAATCTGCAGCCCATTTAAGCCGCATAAGCTGGCTGTAAGTCAAAAAGAATGCAAACTGAGGGAAATAGCTGCGTGGCGACAAAAGGCGAGTGATGCGATGCGTTTATGAATGGGTGTGTATGATGGTGTGATGCTGCTATGCATATAGGTGTATGTAGGTGGAGAGAAGTATTTACTTCCTGTGCCGTTTTAGAACGGCTTATACCACCAAAAGCAAATAAGAACAGCAAAAAACCATCACAAAAATACAAACACAGTCTACTCAGCCCTCAGAAGGGAGAATGTTGCAGTATTCAAACCGCGGTCATCACAATATTCTACCTGGAGATGGTCGGCGGCATTAATCTCTGTGTATACCCTAATCTTCTCTTCCGGTTATCCCTTGGGTTTTTAATGCCCGAAACTTAACGTCCACTGTTGTTTTGGGTTATTATTGTTTTTTTTTTTTTGTAACAAAAGCACAATGTAAAATTTCTGGCTTTATAAGCATCTCCAAATCTTCATCGTGATTAGCAAACATTTGCTCTAAATTAGCAGCGAAATATTATATAACAAGTAAGGAAGCGCTAAGTTTGCGTATAACCGAACATTTCATACTTTAGTAACTTGCAAGGATTAAAACGGGAGTATCTTCAGACATAAGGCGTGTAAGTTATAATTAGTCATTCTGAACACAAATACGCACCGTGTTTAGAAAAACCGCTCTTGAAAGTTCGAAAACTTTATGAGATATAAATGGAGACTCTGGTCTGAATATTCCCATCTACGACCTCATAATTTTTTTGCCAAGGAAAGGGCATTCGAAGTTTCATCAAGATATCTCAAATTTTACTCAAGTTACAGTTTGCACGGACGTTCGGACAGACAGCCATTCGAATTTCAAATCTTAACATCATCTTGATCATTTATATATATGTAAATAAACCTATATATTTCTCGACTGGATTTATGTAATACGTACAATTGTTAGATAAACAAGGAAAAAACATAAATTCAGCTTATCGCTCCCACGTTCGGTTGGTTATGTATAGTATATGAGAAATGTCGTTATAATTACTGTTGGTTTTCACTCACCAAGCATAAAGGCAAATTTTTTCCTGTAAAGGTAACTCGAGAAGGTTACATCATGGTTGAAAAAATTGGTTCTTTGGTTGTTTCTATAAAGCTGAGATGTCCAAAAAGAAAACCTCTAAATAATCAACGATCAAGGCACTCACCACTCACGTAGTTATCACTATTGGGTTTCTTGTTTAATGAGAACACATTCCAAATGAAAATTTTCTCTGTGTGTTTAGTACATAAGATTCCATAATATTTTGCACCAAAATCCGTCAATTAAATATTAATTTAACGTACATGTGTACTCATTAGTTCACGGTGCTCCCGTCGAATTTCTCCAGTCCAAAATGAGCGCAAATAATTAGAAACATTATGAAAATGACGACTTCGCGACGATGAATGTTCTTTTAAATGAAGCGCTTAATTTAAATCGAATGAAATTAGAGCACATCCGCCATCATTGCAGGATTAAACGTGAGTCATTAGACGAGCAAATTTTAAGGAAAGCACATAAAAACACAAACAAATAGCAAGCGGGGAAATTATGTCTGTGCACACATTCCCGCACACACACACACACACACAAACATTTCCATGAAAAAGTATGGCAACGCTGGTAACTAAGCCAATTTAGAGCGACGCTGGCCGAAGAGGCTTGAAAAGAGGGCAGCGTTGCTAACGAAGTGAAAAGGAAAACGCTAAGTTGCGCCCCACCAATGCCAACTGCCATTGCTGCCAACAACTCTTTAATTTAAAGGAAACTTATGACATGCTCATTAGGCCTTCGCGCATTTTGGGAAATTACAAAATACCCGTAAAAGCGACAGCCGTCAATGAGCGAGTGTAAACTACTCTGAGATCATTTCCTTGTGGCGGTTTCAAAAGACGTCACACACCACATCCACCAATTCCCTGCTGTTGGAATGAGAGCATGTAAAAACCGAGCACGTTGCTCTTTGTTCTTGAAACAAGGCAAAGCAAAGAATGAAACATGGAATTTGAATCAAGAAAGTGGCAGAAACAAACAGTGTGCAAAGAAAGTAATTAAGTGATGAGAAGTGGAGTTGCAGGGCAGCCATATGAACATAACTACACCTACAAGTAAAGGGATAGCCGTCAAAGAACAAAGTGCGAGTCTAATGAAAGTGCGCACCAACAAAAGCAGCGGAGGTGCTCTAGCAAGAAAAGGCGGTGAAGAATCGCCACCCGCCACCAACAAGCATACAAGTGCATAAGAAATTGAGGAAAAGTTGAAGAAAAGACACAAATAGGCACATAAGTAGCAATGATTATAATGATGGCATATTTTCTATGGAGCCAAACAGCAACAATGGTTAACAAAAGTGCCGGAACGGAAGTTGATGAATCTATGTGTGCTGCATATGTGAACGTATATGTAATGTGTGTGTGTAAGGTCTAGCGATTCATTGAGAGGAGGACCTCCACTCCGGTGGAAGGACTGGAATAACCAATTGGCGCCACGTAGCGAAAAGAAGAAACGACTAGCGCGCTGTTGTTAACCCGGCTACAATTGCATAAGCGGTGTCTACGCCAGTAAAGAAGACGAATAAATAGGGTTACCACTTAATTAAAAAATTGTAAAGTGTATTCTCATAGAATACTGATCCTATAAAACTGGACTTGGTTTGCATTTTCGACGTGAGAGCTTTCGATTGAAAATTATGATTTTTTCGGTTTCTACGGAGAAAAAATAAATATCTTTCAAAGGTTATGTCAAAATTAAAAAAAAATGTCTAAAAGATAGAAATAAAATTTACCAAAAAATTGGTTATTTTAACTTTTTTATAAATATTTTGAGGCCAGGTGAAAACGTCTTACTAAAAAAGTTGTAGATTTTTTAATTATCTACTACTTCGCATATGGGACTGTTAGTTTCGATCAGGAAATCGAGAAAACCCATTTTTAACCGTTAAATATTGAACCCGTTCTTTCTCTTCCCGACTTCAGATACTCCGTAAATTATTTCTCCATTCATTTCTGTTCTTTTATTTATTTTTTTCAACGGGTTTCAACCTACTAGGATTTTATTCACTTTTTACCATTTCCAATGGCTTTTGTACTAGCTTATGAAAGGAAATATATTTTCCAATATCTATTACTTATAATATTAATTTCCTCTTTCAATATGATTTTAATATTAATAATGTTGGAACAGCCATTTTAATACGTTAGACAACGATCATAATATTTAAAACTTTATATTTAAAAGACTGTAGTTGAGCTAACTAAACTTTCTAACGCATACTCAAACGCAAATTCATTAAGCTGTGTTCATAAACTTAAACTCCATGCCGTCACCACTGATATTGCACATAATAATCCAGGTAGCCAAACACATGTTGACACACTAGCGCTACCAACAACACTACCGAAAACACCCGACACTTATGCACCAGCACTTACTTGCAACTTCATTTAGGGCTTGTGGCATGCAAAATAATGCACAAATGAGTGAAAATACATAATGCAGAGGTTAATCTTGTTGCCAACATGCAACCAATTTGTGAGCCAAACCCGGAAGGTAAAAGTAAAAATTACAAACAGAAAACGAACTTTACTTGCAAAATACAAGTTAAATCTCCAAGCGAAAGCTTGCATAGCCCGCCTAACCCCGCCCCAACTAACCTGACAGCCACAAATTGGCGTGAAAGGCAGGATTTTCCGGAGCGCTTAATGCGGAGGAGAAAAATACAAAAAACAACTTCGACAATGCAGTCGGATTTTGGTGTTTTCGGCATTATATTTTGTTGCTGTTATTATAAAATTGCGAAAAAGATTTTCTTTGTTGCAAGTTTGTATGCCAGCTATTAAAGGCAATTCGTAAGGCGCACAAAGAGTGGAGCAGTCGAGAAGAATGGAGAAAGGCACTTAAAGCGCAGCCATTTGCCTTGGCTTTTAACCTGTTTACCTTTACTGCACACATTCAAAGGCGCCTGCATGTACATATATATGTATGTCCTTGTTTATTGTTGGGAGGGCAAATGCACTCCATCGGATTTACCTCACTCTTCTGTTAAGCCAGGTTGTACTTATGTAAATTCTTGCAGAGGCGCAGCTCCGCCCTGACAACTCCCCAAGTGCATATTTTCTATTTTCTCCTACATCTGCTCACCTTTGAGCAGGCGAACGAGTTGAGTTGCGCATGAAAAGAAGTTCTAAAGGAAATGTTTTACCGGCGAACAAGTGCGTCGGCATTACTTCCAACTTGGTAGCATGCACCCGCCCAGCACGACGCAAACTTTGTGCCTGCGTACGGGGAGCGTTCGCTTTGTATTCAATATGTTTACTCTAAAAGCTCGCTTTATGCGTTCCTCACCTTTGTTATTGCTGTCGCTGCTATTCTTTTATGAGTTGGGTGCGTTCTTGGTCTATTTCGATATTTGTTTGCTCCTCCGTTCCATGTCCAGGTGTGCGATAGCTGCTTTCTGAGGGACTAAAGCTATGCGAGGTTACGACTTTCGCAATTTGTTTCGTTGGAAGCGCCTTTGTTGTTGTTGATTTGTCTTTGTTCAAATGGATCTGCGGAAAAGGCAAAGCAAATGGATGTTCAAATTCTGTACACACTGATGCAAAACAAAATGTGTTAGGAGTAAGAGAAATATTAAAATTACTAGAACACGGGAGTAGATATTCTTCGAAATAATAAAAGATTTTCATTAACATATCAAAGTGCGAAGCATAAGTACCAAACATTCTATGCTCAAAGCTGGCAAAACGTAAAACACGTCTACTACCTTACTTAGATATCTAATACGTTAAAAATTCCTTTGGAGAAAGCAGGAACCCAAGTTGCGATTATTTTGTTCATTACAGTGCGCTTAACTCTTTTGCTGCATTCAATTGCATAGTTTTAACATTCTTTCTTTTACTTCTAATTATTCATTATTGTTATTATTTTTTATTGTATTTTAATAATTTTCTGAACATTTTATTTTTATTTGAAATACTTACTAAAGCAGGCATGGGTTACTGACTAAAGCAATAATACAATCTCCAAAGAAATTGTTAACATCGGATGTCTGTGAAGTATAGCTGCCAAACAAACTTAACGACCGAAATAAAGTTCTTGCAAGGAATTCTGTGTTTTTCTGGTTTTTTTTATTAAGGTTTTTAAAGTAATTTAATTTTTAGCTCAACTATGATATATTTTCCTTTTGAAATCATTTTACACTTCCCTTTACTCTAAAACGTGGCCAAGCAAAGTTGTACAACCGTGCAACAATAACAGTGCAGACCCAACGCATTTTACATAATTTACATAGTTTTTATTTTAACTTTTATTTAAATTATTTGCTTTTCACAAGAATTTTTCCACGTGTGTGGCATGCGATGCAGGAAAAAATTCCACACAAGCTTTAACTTCATTAATGTGCTTTTTTATGCTTGATTGCATTTATGTTGCACAAGTGTAAAAGTATTTCCTGTGTTCAACTTTGAAATATAACTTTAATTTATTATATTCAATATACCATACATATACATAAATAATATTCCGACAAGGTTGTATGTGCGTGTATTCCTGTGGCTGTGGTCGCTTTTGAACATGCAATTGACTGCCTTGCTGCAGAAAAAGTTATTAATTTTCATTCGTATTTGTTGCAAGCGTGCTCTCACACTGCCACGTTTTTATTATTTACAGTTTTTGGTGTGCAATGTTTAGGTACATGCATATGTATGGCTTCGATAGCAATAACTTTGCCAATTAACAAATGTATGCAATTTTTCAGAATTATTTTTCTTGCATGCTATAATTTTGGCATAGTTTCATTTTTGCAATTCAATTTGACGCTCAAAGGATATCGCTTCGCACCAATTATTAAGTTGACTGAGAAACACTTGTGATCGACAAATTCAGCGAGCAATTTTTGAAGTAAATATCGGAGGCGGTACTCTCATTAGGGTGGTACATATATGTACATATATAGCATAAGATATTGAGCAGCAAACCAAAAGAATCGCACTCAAAGAGCTAAGTGTGTCGAGAGCGAAAGTTACACCTGCGGATATACTGCAAAAGTGTACAAAAGTTGCATACTTTCGTTCAAGTTTATTTTCCGTTTCCTTGTTAGTATTCGCTTTCGCTTTTAGTTTTACTTTTACCTTTGGCTTTGACATCACTTACCGGTTGGTGGGATGGTTGCTCACATACACTTGCTCCGGTAATATGAATATGAATGCAAACGGGAAAAGTGTCAGCTGCTACAACAAAAAAGAAGTTGCCAAGGTAAAAGCAAACGTGCGAAAATTAAAAGACTCAGAACATGGCCAGCACACTGCACGCCAAGGCGATAGGGAAACATATCAAATGAAGGTAACGGAAATGCACAATGTGACTTGTACAGAACGCACATACAAACTGCTCACGAAATTTCAGTCACAGTAGCTTATATTTACTTAAACATATTTCAAAGCATCACTGCGCTGTGCATACCGGGAGCTTTAAGAACAACACCAACTAGTACTAAACTTGCCACTTATGAACTATATATAGTATGACGACATTGACATAGTTTGGCGAATTAAGAGATAGCGACGTATGGCCGAAAACACTCCAGCTCTGAGGGAAGACGTGGTGGAGAAGGACCTGGCTTCGTTTGGAATTTCCAACTGCCGCCACGTTTCGAAAAGAAGAAGCGACTGACCCGCTGTTTTTAGCTAGGCTGTAATCGCGTAAGCGGTGCCTACGCCAGTAAAGAAGTAGGAAAGAATTGATAAAAGCACAAGTGAAATAATTTTGAGAGACTGTTTACGATTTTATAAATGATTAATGAAAATTCATAAAAATTTGCCAACAATATCGGCAATATTGTTATAAGCGTTGCCATCAAATTGGTATATATAAAACTTACAATTATCATAGTAAACCAAAAAAAAAAAAAGAAAAATATTTTTAATACTGAAGTAATGTACTATAAAAGTGGTATGAAAAAAATTAAATTTCTTACAACATTTGTTTTCACTAATAATTTGATATGCTTACCAACTAATATCAAAATTAAATAAAGCGGCTTATATAAAACAACACTACATCTACATATTAAAATAAAATAAAATACCTATTGCATTACTTCCAATTGTATAAATAATATTTTTAATATTAGATTGTCAAAAAAGTCTTGCGGTATTTTATTGAATTTTCAGTTGTTCATAAACATTTTTTTGATGACTCATGCCCAGCTCTTGACCGATGCTATGGCTGCTACTATGCCGTTTCTTTCGACCAATTCAGCGATTTTATCGCAATTTTCGACGACAGSVCTTCCGGWGCGTGRCRCATCYKCGACCACCKCTACACCAGAACGAAAACGTTGAAACCATCGTTGTGCGGTGGAAATGGAAACTGTATCGGGTCCATAAACTGCACAAATTTTATTGGCGGCTTGAGATGCATTTTTGCCTCTATCGTAGTAGTACTATAACCTATGCCGTATTTTCTCTTTATTTTGCTCCATATTTGCGACGCTATAACTCACGAACGACTTAAAAGAAACAACAATCAATCAAACATGTGTTAGCGCGTGAAATGGGCTTTCCAAAAAGGTGTAGCATGACCCTATACGACGAATACAACTAGAACTACCGCTCTCGGCGCCGCAAGACTTTTTTGACAACCTATATGATGAGATGGCATATTATAAAATGAATAACGAAGCAAAGTAACTGAATGCTAATGTGTATGTGTATGAGTATTGAGAGCAAAACTAATTTCATTTGGTAGTATTACAATACAATGACCTTTAATTCTATTTACCGCGTTTTCACGCATTTATGAATTTCTTTGAATTCGCTGAATGTCACTTTTAATTGCTTGGCGCAATCGTTTATAAAGTCACAAGAGCATCAGCTAAATTAAGGCAAAATATAACTCATTTTCAACAAAACTACCATTACGCATGCGCATCACTAGACTCAAGTCGTATGTGATCGCTGGTGCTGCATGCCTGTGGCACATTAATTAAAAACTAATCCACAACGTAGCGTTGTAGTGTGTTGCATGCAGCCGGCGTGCTATGGCGTGCGCTTAGTGCTCTGAATATACTAATATACGACAAACACTCGCACGCACAAATGAATGGCATACAGTACGTGCAACACGCAACAATGCAGGCGATATTCGTGAGCATCATGCTTGCAGCGGGACGTTGAATCGAGGGTGACGCCAGTCGTCAATTGTGGAAGAAATAAATAGATGTACGCGATGAGACGAGATGTAGCGACGAAACCGCAGTTCAATTATCATCACTTAAGGCAGCGCAACAACACTTTAAAGCCCCGCTTGAAATTTCATTTCAATTTAATTCATTTTACGACAACGCGAATTTTAATTTCCTCAAGCAAAAACAAAAACAAAAAACAAAACAGGAGAAATTAAAGGAAAGGCCACAAAAATGACACCCGTGCATGTGTTTATTATTGGACTTTTGGCTTTGAAGACATCTGTCATTAAGTTTGTCAGCTTTTCATGTGCTTCGCTACTGTTTTCATTTGCTTGCAACAAATTTTATATCCGCTTGGCGGCTGTCTTTTGTGGCAATTGGTGGCTGAGATAAGTGACACGACAATATTATTTCGTTCATGCGGTAGGCAAATAAATTTATTATTGCAACGTTGAAATGTCAATGCAGTCGTTGTTGTTGTTACTAACGTCGGCAGTGCGGTATTTCATGCGATGTTTGTTGAAACTTTTTTTGCAGCTGTCAGCGCGTGGGTATTGCCCTTTGATGCTCACATTTACCGCAGACATATTACAGTTATTTAGTTGTTGCTGTGCTCTCCAGATGTAAATTAATATTGCAAACAGTTTGAATGTGCGTAACTCTCTTGATAGACGTCTACAGAGATGAAACGTTGCAGTCAAAGTTAAATGCTTAATTAGGATATCGTCAACACAAGCAGCAGTAATGACATACTGCAAATATGCTAGTTCTGCAACTGACACACGCGCCCACTTATGTAGGTATGTATGTATGTATAAGCAAACCGCATAGTTCTCCAGCCACCTTGACGTTGCACAAACGACGGCTTACGCATACAGGTATTTACATACATATGTACAGTATAGGTCATGGACAGTTAACTACAACAACAGTTCTCTGGGATGTCGTTGGTGTTCCCAGATGACATTTTTGAATCAAAATTAACCATTTTTAGATTGGCAAACTTTTTACGAAATTAGTTGATTAGTCGCTTTTCTTTATTTATTTTATTTATTATCTATTATTTTTGGAATATGAAAATTTGGGGAATATTTGTATCAAATATCCCTGCCAACATAGATATTCACATATACTAGTGAAATTGCCTTGAAATTTAGCATTATTTATTCATACTTGGACTCACAATGAATTTAAGGTAATGTGGCAACTCTGGCCGAAAACGATTAGGTGCTGTTTAATTAATTTGTTCTGCGTGCACTTGTTGTTGCTAAGCAGTTAACACCTAATTGATTACCTTTGAATTCTCGTTATTCATTATGATAGATGAACACCTTAACCAAAGTTGCGGAGTCAAGAGGTGAC